AGCCAAGTGCGAGGCATCTCCTGGATTCTGGGTCAGTCCCAGGACCCCAGCTTAGTCCCTGGGACTGTGGATCAGCCCCCAGGACACCACAGCCCTGGGATCCTCTGCTGTGGCAGAGAGGATTATGCCTTTGCATAACCTGTTCCTAGGGCCACCCTACCTTCCCATCCCTCCGTTTACTTGTCCGTCCATCCCTGGGCTGGGGACACGTGCGGGGCCCAAAACCCCCAGGCCCCTCTAACCCTGCAGTGCCCCTGCAGGTGCCACCATGTTCCTGAATAAGTGCGAGGGGGACCTGGGTGAGCTGCGGAAGCCGGGGGACGGCGAGAGCACCCCGCCAGCCGCCGCCGAGGAGGAGCAGCCCAAGAAGAAGCACCGGCGGAACCGCACCACCTTCACCACGTACCAGCTGCACGAGCTGGAGCGTGCCTTCGAGAAGTCCCACTACCCTGACGTGTACAGCCGCGAGGAGCTGGCCATGAAGGTCAACCTGCCGGAGGTCCGCGTGCAGGTAGGGAGGGCAGCACCCCCGCAGCCCGGATCCGTCCCTGAGGGGTGGCAGAGGGACTCCAAGGTGCTGGAGAGCTCCTCTCAGCTCTCAACTCTAGTGCCAGTGCCTCCCTCTGTGCCTCAGTTTCCCCACAGCTCGAGACAAGAGTGGCGCCTCTGCAGAGCCAGCTGTTCCCAGCAAAGCCAGGGAAAGGGTTTAATGGCTGAGCCTTGTTCTTCCATGGGGTCCCAGTTTGACTTACAAGGTCTCAGTTGGGCCCATGGGCCAGAGGCTCCGTTAGGGCACAGAGATGGTTCTCAGAAACTTTTTACCCCTCTAGTGGTGGCTGCTCCCATCCCTCCTTCTGCTCACATGCCAAAAAACCCACCTTGGCTGATTGTGGCTCCTTCCAGGTTTTTGGGCTGGGAAAGCACAAGATCCTCATGGATTTGAGGGTTTTAAACCTGTTGGAGCAGGGCAGTGGGGCTGGGGATGACTTGTTCCTTGGGCTGCAGCAAAAGGCTCTTTGGGGGAGAGCAGAGCCTGGGAAGAGCCTGGGGTCCCACCAGTCTTCTCCCCACCATGCTTGGACTGACGGGGTGAGATCAGGGAGGGAGAAAGGGTCAGGGAGCTGAAGTAACAAACCCACTGTGAATGAAAGCAGTAGCCCCCAAACAAATGAACTGAATTCCCCAGGCCTCAGCCCCAGTCAAGACAATGCAGACTTTTTTGTGGGGGTCCAAAAACCATAAAGACACCTCTGCTGAGCTCTCTGAGCAACAACAAGTTTCATAGAATCACAGAATCGTTCAGGCTGGAAAAGCGCTTTGGGTCCATAGGGTACAACTGCTCCCCCAGCACTGCCAGGGCCACATCAATCCATGTCCCAAAGTGCCACATCCACATGTCTTAGAAGTCCTTCCAGGAATGAGGACTCCATCACTGCCCTAGGGAAGAAGTTTCCACTAATCTCCAACCTAACCCTCCCCTAGGGCAGCTTGATGCTGTTTCCTCCTGTGCTCTCCCTTGCTCTCTGGGAGCAGAGCCGGATCCCCCCCGGCTGTCCCCTCCTGTCAGGGAGTTGTGCAGAGCCAGAAGGTTCCCCCTGAGCCTCCTTTTCTCCAGGCTCAGCTCTCCCAGCTTCCTCAGCTGCTCCTCATCCGGCTTGTGCTCCAGCCCTTTCCCCAGCTCCATTTCCTTCTCTGGACGTGCAGTTTGCACCAGTGCAGCCCAGTGTCCACAACAGCCGTGAGCAGCCCATGGAACCCTTCCCTTTCCCACCCAACCATGCATCTTTCCTCCCCTTTTCTTCCTGCAGCAGACCCCTGTGCCCTGTGCTGCTCTGGGGACATGGGGACCAGCACTTTAATGAGCAGTTCCCACGGGGCCAGACGTCCCCACTGGATTTGGGTCGCCAGTCCCTGTCATTCCTGCTGGGTTTTGGCACAACTGAGGCTGTTTAACTTATAAAAGCTGTGACCAAGGGCTGGGAAGGTCGGATAGCATTGTGCCATGGACTGCTGGGAGTTTGCAGGGCCAGAGTGCATGTTCCCACAGAGCAAAAGGGGCTGTGTGCTTACACCTCTCTCTTCCACACCTTGGAGATGTCCTTGGTCTCTGGGGCTTGGTGGAGAGGTCTGGCAGAGGTGCTGGGGTTGCTGGAGTCCTGTAGGATAGCCCTTGTGGGTACCTCATACGGGACACCCCCACCTTGAGCACGCCCTGTGGGGCACCCCACACGCGATACTGCAGAACGGGGCACCCTGTCTGGGGCAGAGGCATGGGGCACCCTGCATGGGACACAGCATGAGGGACACTCTGCAAGGGCCTAGCTGGGCACAGTGATCTCACCTTGGCTCTCACCTCACAGGTCTGGTTCCAGAACCGACGAGCCAAGTGGAGAAGGCAGGAGAAGATGGAGGCCAGTTCCATGAAGCTCCACGACACCCCTGTGCTCTCCTTCAACCGGCCCCCCATGACCCCCAACGTGGGGCCCATGAGCAACTCCCTCCCACTCGACCCATGGCTGACGTCCCCCATCTCCAGTGCCACCACGGTCCACAGCATCCCCGGCTTCATGGGAGCCCCCCAGGCCCTGCAGCCCCCCTATGCTGGGCACTCCTTCCTCAACACCCCCCCGCCGATGGCGCAGGGCATGCAGCCCATGGCCCCCGCGCCCTACCAGTGCGGCACCCCCTTTGTGGACAAGTACCCGCTGGAGGAGGTGGACCAGAGGAGCTCCAGCATCGCCTCGCTCCGCATGAAAGCCAAGGAGCACATTCAGACCATTGACAAGACCTGGCAGCCCATTTGATGAACGCTCCCCTCCGAGCTCCCCAGCCCCGCGGCGGGCGAGGGAGGACAGCGGGTGCTCAGCAGGACCAAAGCTGGCCCCGGGCAGGGATGCCGGGCTGCCTCTTCCCCACACTGACCCAGCACCGGTGGTGTCCGGGGAGCGAGTCCGGGTGCTGGCAGGGCCCCACGGCTGGGAGGAAGGACTCCAGGAGAGCTCCCTTGCCTCTCTGAGGCACCAAGATCAGCTAAGGACCTGGCTGAGGCTCAGGCATCCCACTGTGCCACCGGGCCACCCACCACACCCCAGCTGGACACCTCCTTTCTCCACACCCCCTCCCCTTTCCATTATTATTAATTTTTTTTTTAAATGCTGCAGATTTAAACAAAACTGAACAGAAAGCTCTAGTTTTGTAGGGAGTACTTGGGGGGATGTTTTAGCTGTGCTGGGGCACGCTGCTGGTCATGCCAGGAGATGCGCCGAGATCACGGGTGTATTGTGAGTAAAGAGAAAAGCTGGATGGCTGCTGCATGCTGGAGTCGGGCGCTGCGGGGCCGCGGTCGTGCCGTGCTCTCCTTAGCACGGCGTGGCTGCCAAGCCTCTGCCAGAAAGGAGCTTTCTGTGGGGGCACGGGAGTGCCATCCCTGTGCACCCTCCTGCCCTGCTCCCGTGGGATGCTGCTTGCAGGGCTGGGCCAGGTCCAGGCACAGGTGACCTGGGACTGGCTTGTGCTGCTCCGTGGCCTCAACAGCTTGTCACAGGTCCCCTGCTCGACTGCCCTGTGGGGGCTGTGCCCACTGCCCCCTGCCCTAATGCTCCCAGAGGAGCCAGTGGCAGAGGGCTGCTGGAATGGTGCTGGGGGGAGGATGGGTAGCAGTGGGACCCCTGAGACCTCTGGTGAGAGCAGGCAGCTGGCTGTGAGCCCTGGGCTCACCACAGCAGGGTTCTTGGGGCACACCATACCTGGCTTACTCCTTGCCGGTGTTCCTTGCCAGGTGGGAGCCGGGGAGTGGTGACAAGCTGCTGTGTCCTCAAGAGTCTCCAGAGTGGCTCTGCAGCTCTGTCCCATTTGCCCACTCACTGGAGCTTGGGGTACAGCCCGTGGCATCAGCACCCTCACCGATGGCAAAGCCAGCATGACTCCAGCACATGGCTGAGCCCACAGTGGCTTTGAGGTGCTTAAGCACAGCCGGGACAGCAAGACAGGGGGGCTTATCCCTGGGTGAGTGGGTGCCCCGGGTCCCTGGGATGCCCTGAAGTGTCCTAGGTTCCTGGGGTGCCCTAGTTCCTGGAGGACCCAAACGAGGGACAACCCAGTTCCCACCAAAGGTTTTCTCCAGAAAATCTTCCCGCTCCAGACCTGACAAGAGCCCCAGCCGGGGCTGTGCCGGGGCAGCCCCATCCCCACCGCGTCCCCCCGGCGCAGACCCCGCTCAGTGTCTGCAGTCCCCCCCAGCCCGGGGTCTCACCCCGATCCAAACCCCCCGGGGCCGGACTCTGACGTCTCCAGAGCCCCGGTGTCGGGCGGGTCTGGCAGGGAAGCCAGGCGAGGCACTGACCCCGGCGAGACCCTTCTCCTTGTGCCCCGTCCCCCGGCTGCTGCTGCTCGTCTGTTTCGTTAGCGACAATTAAACCTTTAACAACCCATTAAACGCATAATCGATGCTCCCCGGCTCCCCGGCCCAGCTAATGGGGTGAAGCGCCCCGGCCGAGGCGAGCTCCGGCCGGCAGATAATGAAGCAACGGCTGCGGAAGTAATGGGGTTTGATCCGGGGGACGGGACGCGCTCAATGGGGGCTGCGCTTTTCACATGACATAATTGCCGAGGCTGGCGCCAGCCCGGGGCACCCCTCGGCCTCCCGAGCGCCAACAAAGGCAGGCTGGCGCTGGGAGCGGCAGCGCCGCACCCCCGGCTCGTTTGATCGGAGCCTAATTGGGGCGAGGGTGCTCCCCAGGCCGGCCCCGCAACCCCCGAGAGCGCGGAGGGGCCCCGGCAGGAGGGTGCGCCGCCCCGGCTCCTTGGGCTGGGGGCTGTGTGAGTCATGGAACGTGCGAGCTGTTTTCCTTGGGGTGGCACGGGGAATGTCGGGGTACCCGCACTTGGTACCCCCCTTCCCTCCTGTGGGTGCGCCCGGTGCTGCGCTGCACCTCCTGCAGGAACGGGCAAGATTTCTGAGCCAAAAATGCCATTTAAACGCAGGGAGGGCGGAAAAGCACTGAGCCGCCTGGCCGGACCACTTTATTGGTGCTTTCCCCGGTGGATACCCAGCATGTGGGAGTTTGTGTGGGAAAAACTCAAGCAAAAATACTTTTTTTTTTCACCCTTAGATTCCAATCCTGTCCTGAAATCGCTCACTGCCCAGATGGGGCCGGTTCTTGTGGCTGGACTGTGAGGAGTGGGAGCTGCTGGGAGCGCTGGGGGTACCAGGGGGTGCTCCCACTCCCTCGTGGCCGAGCAGGAGCCCACTCGCTCCCATCCCTGTAATCTCCTCCCGCGGGATTTGCCCCCTAAGCTGCTTATTTCTCTCTATTTCTCCCAGGCCTGAACGAACCTAGCCCTGCCCCGGCATGACGCCTCAAGCCCGCTGAGCCGTGGTCTCTGGCACTCTGCCCCTGGCACTGCCTGGTGGTGGCCGGGCATGTGAGGCTGGCACTGCCCAGGCATGTGGGGCTAGCACTGCTCAGGGATGGGGGGGTGGCCAAGCCAGAGATGTGGGGCTGGCACTGCCCAGGGATGTGGGGCTGGCACTGCTCAGGGATGGGGGGGTGGCAGTGCCATGCCCAGGGACATGGGACTGGCACTGCCCAGGGATGTGGGGGTGGCCAAGCCAGGGATGTACGTCTGGGGCCCACAGTCCCAGTCGTGCTGTGCTGTGAGACCTGCCCCCCTTGGCAGAAGCCAGGATGGAGGGCAGCCTCCGTGCACATCACCTGCACCCCTTCCATCCCCTGGCCCCCCAGCAGGACAGGGATGGCACCGGGGGACTGCAGTGATGCGGGTGGGGCCTCACTGTCCCTCTACAGGGTGTGGGAGCTGGGGCCCTCGGGGCTCAGGTTCTCCTCGGGAGTGTTGACCCATGAGCTCTCCCCTACCCCCCAGCTCCCAGGGGCAGAGGGGCAGAGGGGGCTGTGGGCTGGTGAGGGGGCGGCTGCCCACTGCAGGTTGAGCTTGGCGATGAGCGGCCGCCCCACGTTCACCTGCTGCCGCTCCTCCACGAACTCATCCATGCCCTGGTAGCGGTACTGCAGGCACACAGTGAAGGCCAGCTCCTGCTGCAGGGACACCAGCACCATGGGCTCCTGCCCTGGCACGGCCATGGTCACGCTGTGCCCCCAACACCGGCCCCCACTCGCCATGGCTCTTACCCGCAGCTTCTGCAAGCCACAGATCCGGCTGTAGAGGCAGCAGGAGGTGCAGCCGAGGCTCCAGATGGGCGCCAGCGGGCTGCCCAGCTCCTCTGGGCTCTCCTTGTTGGTGCACTTGAGGTCCACATCCAGCTCCTGCCATGACGGCATCCACGTGAAGACCACCACAGCTTCCCCCCGTTCCCCAGTGTTGCCCCGGTGGGGGCTTCAGCAGCTGCTCCCACCTCGGGAATATCAGTGAGCCGGGCCTCACACTTGGTGATGTCCTTGGGGGCAGCCACCACACGCGTGTAGATGATCATAATGTTGGAGAACTCGGCAGCGAAGCCCAGCTGCACGGTGACACCGCAGTCAAAGCGGAGGTGCCGGCTCTCCGGCAGGACTGGGGAGGGGACAGGGAGCACAGGGCTGGGACCTGCAGGGGCTCAGGGCTGGAGCTGTACCCACAGGTGAGGTGGCCTCTGGGTCACCCCAGAGCAGGGCTGCCAACACATTGTTCCTGTCTCCAGGCTGGTGGCTCTGTGCTGGTAGTTTCTCCTCCAGGTGGGAGGAACCCAGCAGATGTTGTTCACAGCCTCTCTCTGCTCTTGGGGCTGTCCCCCCTCTAGATGCCAGCTTGGCACAGGGTGGCCATGACTCACCGTGAGCCTTGGCCCACTGCAGGTTCCTGGCAGAGGACTCATCCTGGCCCGGGGGGCGGATGGGGTCTGTCAGAGCCCGTCTCTCTGACAGGTTGCTGCGGAGCTCCAGTGCCTGCCGGCCTCGCGTGATCTCCAGAGTGCCCATGTCTGCAGGGGCACAGGGGGTTGGCAGGGGCCACCAGGGAGGTCATTGTTCCCCACTGCTCCTCACTCACCCTCAGCCACCTTGTCTAGCAGCACCGTGATCTTCTCATCCTCCAGCAGCCAGCGCTTGAGGAAGGTGACGAAGATGCCATTGGAGAGCTCACCCTGGCTCAGCTCATAGGCTTCGGCATCTGCACACCTGCGGGGCACAGGGCAGTGGCTGGATCTGTCATGGGGTCTGGCACTCGCTGGGAATTGGCCCCCAACAGGATGACAGCCCTAAAGAAGCCAGAGCTGGGTGCCCAGCACTCTTCCTGTTCCTATCTGTGCTGGGGACAGGCGAGAACATGGCCAGATCCTGGATGCTTAAAGCATCACCAGCCCAAACCCCTGTGTTCTGGAGAAGTCTTGCAGCCTCATGGCAGCAGGTGCTGCCCAAAGCCAAGCAGTGCCATGGGCACCTCCCTGCCCTGTGAGGGACTGGGGGCTGCCTCTTGCCTAACCCCTCCAGCATCAAAGGTGGAGGGATGCAGCCGTGGGGGTCAGAGCCCCTGAGCTAGGCAGGGAGACAGCCCCACTGCCTGTGCCAGAGGATGGTGGGAGGAAACCCACGTGGCATAGCCAAAGACGATGTTGGCCGTGACCTCCAGCGCCCCAACCTGTGGGATGATGTCATCATTGAGGTTCCTGCAAGAGAAGAGAAGCTGGACAGAGTGAGAACCTGTCCCCCCCCAAAACCCATCCCAAAGCGCACCGGACCTTGAAGGCTGCTCTGTGCCCCACTGCCCACCCATTGCAGTGTTTGCTAGCTCACAGGGGCAGTGAAGTCTTGGGGCATTTAGACAAAGACAGTGGGTTTAGATGGGACCCTGGGGGTGCCCCGCTACCCGCCCCCAGTAGCCACCACCAACAAGTCCCTGTGCTGGCTCTCTCTGAGCGGCAGCTTGTCCCCAGGTGGGTGGCAGGGCCGGGTCACCTCTTGCGGCACATGTCAAGCAGGAAGATGTTGAGGCCGGTGCGGCGCTGCTGCATCTCCTGCAGCACCCGCTGCACGCACAGGCAGTGCTCTGACGTGTAGGCGCTGGGCGCGTCGATGGGCACCATGAAGCTGTTGCCAAAATTTTCATAGCCATGCCCGGCATAGTAGAGCAAACCTGCTGGGGGAACAGAGGGCAGGTGATAAGGTGACATCCCCTGACCTGCCAGCATCTGCTTCTTGCCTGGCTGCACCCAAGACTCCACCAGCATAAAACCACCCAGCTCCCCCTGGGCTGCAGCCACCCTGGCAGGTCCTGTCGCACCGTAGACGCCCTTGTCAAGGAGGAGGAGGAACTCATCGACAGCCATCTGCATCTCAGCCTTGCGCAGGTTCAGCAGCGACACCACCTTGAAGTCGAGCTGGCAGAGGAGGGCACCCAGGGCGTGAACATCCACGATGGGCGCCTGCAGCTGCTTGTGGTGCAGGTAGTGCATGTTGCCAATCAGCAGCGCCACTTTGTCCGTGGCTGCAAGGACGGGAGAGGGAGGTGTTGTTACAGAGTGGGACACCTGCTCTCCATGCTGCCCACAGCCCACAGAGGTGACACCCAGCTCTGGCCAGCATCATGGTCCCTGGGTACCAAAGTACCCTATGGCTTCCCTGCCTCACTGATCCCTGAACCCTCAGGTTATGGGTAAGGGTTAGGGTTGGGGCTCTGGGTTGAGGGTTAAGGTGCTGATCTGCTCTCCTAATTTGAGTTGGGGCTGGGCTGCTGTTTCACTCTTCCATTATGCTGCACCCAAAGCATTCCTGGCCAAGTAAAGCCTTATGAGGTGACAATGGTGACACTGGTGACAGTCAAAGCCCCCCAGGGCCACCAGCCCCTCGTGGGCAGGCTCTTACCATACAGCTGTCCAGGGCTGCCATGCTCCAGGAAGCCTGGGAAGAGAGAAATGCTGTGCCATGGTCCTCCAATGCCAGGGGAGCACAGCAGGCAGAGCAGCATAGACCTGGACACTCTGCTCTCACCTACCTCCATCCCCATCCTGCCAGGAGCCTCCAGAGGTGAAGAGCCGTGGTCCTGTGGCAGAGGGGATGTCAGGGACCCTATGTGTGACATCACCTCCCAGCATGGGCTGCAGTCCCCCCAAGACTGTGCAGCCATGAGGGCTTTACTGGGAAGAGAGCAGGTGGGGGGGTCACAGAGGTTTGTCTGAGGCCCTCACCAATCTCCACGTCCACCTCCTGGCTCCACACTTCATGGAAGAGGTTGAACACGTGGCAGGAGTAGCTGCCCCGCTCAGCCGTTGTCACCAGCTTCACCTGCCAGCAGGGCAGGGCAGGAGGCTGGGGCCGTGTGCCAGACCACGCTGCACTGTGGCACACTGTGCCATGCCATACCATGCTGTGCCATGCCAGAGGTCCCAGCATACCTGGAACTGGGGTGCCTGTGCCCCTTCCACGGGGCGCCGGTTCCTGAACCACTGGTACTGGGGTGGGGGGTTGCCAATGGCTCTGCACTCCAGCACCAGCGTGTCCCCCTCGGCCAGGCGGCACGGCCGTGGCTGCCGCAGGATCTGCAGCCCTGCCATGCTCGGGCAGTAGCCACTGGCTGGGGAAGGGACAGGGTGGCAAATTAGACACCCAGCCATGGCAGCGCTCTGCAGCGCTGCTCCAGGCCCCAGGTTCTGCAGCCACAGGCCCTGGCACCCATGGATGGCATGAGGCAGCAGGTATGAGGAGGGCATGTGACTCTTCTGTGGGCACCATCACCCCAGCAAGCCCAGAGACCTTCACAGCTGAAGGTCTGCCTTACATGGCAAATGATACCGCTCAGGATCCATCCCTGTCCTGATGGGGCAAGAGGTGCCCTGCAGGAGATGCCCCAATCAGGCAAGTGGTGCCCCATAGCTGCCAGCCCAGGGACAGAGATCTCAAGACCAACCTGAGCTGGGGCTGCTGCTCTTCTCCACCTGCACATGAGCCCACCTGGAGAAGGTGAAGGTAGCCCCACAGTTCACCCGGCAGATGTACCACTGGCCCATGGGAGTGGCTGTGTTGATCACCAGCTCTGGGGATGTGGCTCCAGGCACCTACAAGAGAGGAGGAGGCCAAGGAGTAATGTGCTCCCTCACCCATGCGGGTCCCTCACCACAGCCAGGATGTGGAGGCCCTGATCAGTGTGACACATTGGGACCTCACCTCCTGCCTCCCACAGAACCACTGGTACGTGAGCCCTGGCGGGCCAGTCGCACAGCAGGTCAGGGACACCTGTGTCCCCTCCGCCATCACCTGCGACTCAGGCTGCACCGTGATGCGAATCACATCCTGGACTGCAGGAGAGGAGAGACCAGTCTGGGCTGGCTGAGTCTCACACCACCCCATACCATCCAGTCCCATCCTATCCTGCCTCACCCCCCCAGCTTCTCCTCTCCCAGCCCTGCCCATCCTATCACATCCCACATCTCTGTCCTGTCCCAACTATCTCATCCCACCTTGTCCCATTGGTATATTCAGTGCTATCCCATCTACACATCTCATCTTGTTTCAGTCTATGCCATCCCACTCTGCTCTATCTTACCCTATCCCATCCCACCCTACCCCATGCTGTCCAAATCTGACCTCTCCCATCCAATCAGACCACATCCCATCCTATCTCATCCTGTTGCACCCATTCCACCTCACCCAGCCTGCCCAGCACCTCGCTACCAGAGCAAGACCCCCAGCAGGAATTGCTGTTCTTCACCCCCGTGCCCATTTCCTCTTGCTGAGCCCCTGCCCCCGGCGCTCCCCTCCAGCCCGCGGCTCTGCTGCCCGTCCGTACCGGCGGCGCTGAGGACCCGGCAGGCCTGTTCGTGCCCCATGCGCTCCAGGCAGCCCAGCAGGTACCTGAGGGTGCAGTCGCGCTCGGCCAGGAGCTGCAGCAGGCACTGTGTGGGGCTGCCGCGGGGCTCCAGCACCTTCAGCGAGCACATCTCCAGCTCCTCCACGCTGCAAGCGCCCGCAGCAGTCAGAGCCACAGCCAGAGCCAGAGCCAGAGACTCCCCCCTCGGGGTGGATGGGAGCCCTGCCACAGCCAGAGCCAGAACCAGAGCCAGAGCCAGAGACCCCCCCCTCGGGGCGGATGGGAGCCCGGGGGGGAACTGACCCCTGCGCCCCTCGCTCAGCCCGCGGCAGAGCTGTGCCCGTGGTAACCGGGTCGGGGACAGTCCCCAGCAGGGCTCCCCCAGCCCTACCTGCACCTGAAGCGTTTCTCGGCCCCGGCCAGCTCGGCCAGCTTGCGCCAGCCCCGGCCGGCGTTGTCCAGTAGCTCACACAGCCGGGCCACCACTTCCTCGCCCAGCGAGCCGATGGGCATGCTCCAGTCCCCCATCGCTCCTGGGGACCCCGAGGGACGAGCTGTCAGTGGGTGAAGGGGTGACAGGCCCCCGTGCCCCACCGGAGCCCTCTGGGCACGGGGTGACTCAGAGGGGAGAACAATGAGATCCCTGGTGGCAGGAGCCTGAGGAGGTGCTGGGACCACTGCTGGATCTGGCCACCAGAAGCCAGCCAGGAATGACACACATTGCCACTCTGCAAGCTGGGTGGCACAGGGGACTCCACTCACCCCCCAGCCTTGGGCAAGGAGCCAGGGTACTTTAGCCTGGCCCCAGGAAAGGGACCTTCCTGGAATGGGATCCACAGAACTAGAAGGATGGGATAGCAACCATCACCTCCCTGTCCTCTCAGGTGAAACAAAGAATGGGGCCCCAGCACCCCTCTCCTTCTAGCAGAGGCCCCAGTGGGGCAGCAGCAGCCCCCTTGCTGTCACCAGGCATCTGCATGGTGGCTCTGGAGCCACCATGAGGAGCCTACAGGGGGGTCAGCATAGGGTACACGGGGGTCTTGGGACTGTGACCCAGCTCAGCTTGCCCTGAATCCTGGGAGAGGTTTCAGTGTGACATGAACCACCTGGACAGGGGCAGCTCCCTCCTCCTCCCCTCAGGTCCCTTCCCAATAACCCACCCCAGAAGGGCCCTTGTCCCCAGGACTGAGCTGCCCAGAGCAGCTGGGTGACACTCACCCAAGCAGGGGGCTCCAAGAGAGGACAGGGACCCAGGTGCTCCGTCTGCTCACCTGCTGCTGGATTTGGGAATCTGGACACACTGGGGTGGTGAGGGGAGGGCGAGCTGCAGGCCCAGCAGCGATGGGCACTCACCGTGGGGTGAGCCCCATCAGCTCCGAGGCTGTGCACTGAGCCCCACACAGAGGAAATGAGGGTTCAGCCCAAAATCTCCCCCAAGATCGCCCCCGCGCTGCAGCACAGCACTTCTGCTTCCCTCCCTCTTCCTTCCTGTTGTGCAGCACGTGGGCGCAGAGCTGCCACCCACAGCCCCGGGGGAGCTGGGCACACCCTGTCACAGGGCACATGGCACCGGGGCCACCGCCAGGCCAGGCAGAGGCTGCCTCACTGCAGGAACCCACAGGTGCCTCTTCTGCCCAGAGCACAAAAGGATCTGCAGGGCAGTGAGTCCAAGGTGGAGGTGAGCTGAGGTGACTGTGGCACCTCTCAGCCAGGTGTGCCCAACACACAGGAGAACCAAGGCCAGGGGAAGCTGCTGGGCTTTGCCAAGCTGAAGCTGCCCAAGGAGAAGCAGAGACAGAGCAGTGAGGCCCCTGTTGCTGTGGGGAAGTTCCTGCCTTCATTGTCCAGCCCAGCCAAGCCCTGACATCCCAGCACCACTTCTGCTGCTGGAGGAGGAAAGGAGAGCATGGTGTTGGGGTGGCACTGCAACAGGCCACCATGTCCCCTCCCTCAACTTGCCTGCTGTCCTACAGCACTGCCAAAGCCTGGCCCCCATCCTTCCAGCCCCAGGGAGCACAGGCTGCTCAGGCCCCGAGATCCAGCGGCCAGGGACACAGTGACACGGGTGGGTCATTCCCCACCCCACATCCCCACGGAGCCCTCAGCCCCAGCCGTGGTGATGGAGCAGGACCCGTGTGCAGTGTGGGCTCAGAGCTATGACCCAAAACCTGAGCTTCTGTACTAACAAACACACTGAGACCTTGTGGCCTGTGTTGCCTCAGCCCTTGGCACGAGCTTGCAAAGGGTCTGGGGTTGTCACACATATGCCTTTGTAACACCTATCAGCCTCACTCAGAGATTTATTTCTTATTTACAGCAAGGAGAAGAGACCAAAAGCCAGGGCAGGTCCCAGTGCCCCTTGTGGTGGCACATGGGGAAGCCCCAAGCTCAGCAGCACCTACAGCTTCTTGCCCTTCTTCAACTTGTTGCGCTGCCATGTGTTGTACTTCCGCAGGCGCCTCCAATACTCAAGCGAGTTGGGGTCGAGCTCCTCCAGCTTCTTGGGGGGCCCGAGGTGGATCTTAAAGAGCCTGGGGGTGAATGCAGAGGATGTGAGGCTGCAGGAAGGAGGACAAAGGGACAAGCACGGGACGGAGCAATGGACATGAGTGACCAGGATGTGCAGATCCCTCACCCCACATCCACAGTGCACCCACTCCAGTCTCCTGACCCTGGGGAAGGTGTCTGGGCTGCTGAGGGGCAGTCTGCCTCCTCGCAGAACACTTCCCTGTCCCTCTTACACAGCTCTGTGCCCCTGGGATGGTACCTCTGGGGCACAGAGAGGAGTGGGGCAGCACGCACCAGTCGGGGTACTCGGACTCGGGCTTCAGGGCCACCTCCGGACCCTCCTTGAAGTAGTTGACCCCCATGGCGTGGGTGGCGAGCATGGTGGGGTCGGTGCACACCTCCGGCCCCTTCAACGCCTCCTTCGGCACACCCTTGCCTTTGGACTTGGCGGCTGTGGGAAAAAGGGCAGAGTGAGGGCAGAGTGAGGGCAGGGGATGTGCCAGGGGTGAAGGATGCAGGCAGAAGGGACGAGGACTCGAGGGCAAGGGCATCGCGGGGCGCTAACAGGGACCGGGACCGGGTGAGAGTGGAGGGCACGAGGAATGGAGCTGGGCCGGCGGCACCACGGGGAAGGGCCCTGGAACCAGAACACGGGGCCCGGAGCGCGGGCAGGGCAGGGCCGGTACCAGGGGGAGAAGCGCGCGACAGGGGCACGGGGGGACGCACGGGGACGGGGAGCGAGGCCGAGGAGGGAGGGTGCGGGCCGGTGCCCGTGCGGGCCTCACCCGGTTTCTTGGCGTAGCCGCGGGCCGGGGCGCGGAGCACAGCTCCCGCCGCCCGCAGCAGCCCCCGGGCGGCCATGGGCGCGGGGCACGGCGGGACCGGGGCGGGGCCGCACCTGCGCACGGCGAACGGAAACGGCGGCGGGACCGTCCCGTCCCGGCCGGAGGCGCCGGTAGTGACCGAGTCGGCCCGGCCCGGGTCCCTCCCGGGCCGCCGGCCCCATGGAGACCGGCACCACCATGGACTTCCAGGCGGACGCGCTCTCTGCCCCCGGTGGCGGCAGCGATGAGAGCGCGGAGCCGCGGGCCATGGACACGGAGGACGGACCGGACGCCCCTGAGCGCTGTGGGGGCGGCGGGCGGCCGGAGGAGCCCTCCCGTACCGCCCCGCAGCCCGACAGCGGCTCCGGGCCGGAGGGGCCGGGGCCCGCCGCAGCCCCGGAGCTCGCGGGAGGCGCGGGAGGACGGACCGAGCTGTGCCGGGGCTCGGGAAGGGCGATGGAAGCGGAGGCGGTGCCCGAGGTGCCGCAGGGCTCTGCCCGCTGGCAGCCCGGCGCCGGGAGCGCCCCTCGAGGCACGGGGCGCCCCCGGACCCCCAGCAGCGCCGACCCCGCGGGCATGGAGCTGGATGAGAGCCCCGAGCCCCGCCCCGCACCGAGGGCCGAGTGGACCGAGGATGTGGAGGACGAGCCCTCGGAGATCCAAGGGCTGCTGGCTCAGCTTGAGACCCTCGACCCCAACCTCCGTGACTGCCCGTCCGCCCCAGAGCAGGGCTCGCCATCCTCCTCGGGCGCTGGTGCCCGGCGGGGCCGCGGGCAGTGCCCGGGCAGGTGCGGGCCGTGCCCGCTGCACGTGGCCACGGGCCGGGGCCTGGCGACGCGTCCCTGCTGCCCGCGGCACTCCGCCTGCGACCGGCCCTGCCACGGGCTGCTCTTCGCCGAGGCTGACCGGGAGGACTTGCTGAGCCTCCTGTGCTACGAGGGGGGGCTGCCCGAGGCTGGTGCCGAGACCCCCTTGGCCCACTCCGATGTCCTGGCTGGGACCAACCTGGAGATGCTGCAGGTGCAGGAGGAACCAGCCACTGTGGAGAAGCCTGAAGGGCTGGGAAGGCCAGAGAGCTCAGAGGAGGAACCTTCTGGCAGCTGGTGTTACGGAGAGGGGCTTTGCGAGGACGATTCTGCCTGCGAGGGTGCTCGGGAAGGTTCCCCGGAGCCGGCGTGGGCAGCCCTGCCTTCCGGTCTGGTGCCCGGGATGGAGCAGCCACCTCAGGGCGCTGTGACCGTGAGTGCACTGTGCCTGCAGCAGGAGCCAGGACATTCCCCTTGGCTCTGATCCCTCCTGGGGTCTGGGATGGGGGCAAAGGAGAGCCGGGGATGACTTTGCTCAGGTCTTCCAGGGCCTTGCGCTGCAAGATTGCCCAGACATGACCCTCGGTACCAGCTTTGGCCCTGGATGCATGCTTGTATGGCTGGCTGACTCACGTGTGCTCTGGGACAGAGGCTGGTGGGTCCCGACAGCCCCTCTGGTCCTGGGATCCTGTGCCATCTTCCCCTCCAGCCCCAGGACCCTGTTCCTCCCTGTCCAACCCTGGGACCCTATGCCATTCCCCCCATCCCCAGGGACACTCTGCCCTTGCTGTTCCACTGCTCCAGGGCCAGGCAGGCTGAATCCCTGAGGTCCCAGCCACAGCCTCACTTGCTCTCTCATTGCTTTGCAGAACAGGGAATCCCCATCATCCTGCCCAGCCTTCAAAGAGGGTGAGTTCTTGAGCAGCAAGAGCATCCAGGAGTCCTGTCCCACCTGCTCTGACCCTGAATGGGCATAGTCCAGGGTCCTCGATGGGGAGGGAACAGCAGCTCTGCACCCATCCAGAGTGGGTGCGCCAGGTCCACATGGCTTGTTTGAGCCTTTGCTGAGGAAATGGAGGTGTGTCAGGGATCAGGGAGGAGATATACTTGGGGAAAAGGGATGCCATGTGTTCCCAAGGGAAGGGGGAAGCATCCCTGGTCCCCAGTGATGCCAGGTGCCCATGTACCAAGCACTGAGCTGCTTCATTGTGTGTAGGAATGCAGCTAATAAGGCAGCAGGAGTTGGTACCCCCAGTTTCAGAGGTGGGGGAGCAGCCTCTGCTCAGTCCCTCCCAACGCCTCAGTTCCAGGCCCTTGTGACCCAGAGGACTTGCTGGATGGTGTGATTTTTGGGGCCAAGTACCTGGGCTCCACGCAGCTGGCCTCAGAGAGGAATCCCCCGACCAGCGTCCGCATGGCACAGGCCCAGGAGGCCGTGGACAGGATCAAGGTGCAGGAGGGATGGTGGGGCATGGCTGCCCCGAGCCTACCCCCCTGTGGGTGTGGGGCAGCGCTCAGGATCTGCCTGAGGGCACTTGGCTGTGGGGCTGGGTCCCAGCAGGGTCCTGTGACCTCTCCATCGTTCTGCAGGCACCCGAGGGGGAGTCCCAGCCCATGACAGAGGTGGATCTGTTTGTCTCCACACAGAGGATCAAGGTGCTCACTGCTGACACTCAGGTGAGCAGGAGCAGCAGTAACCACGTGGCTCTGGCTGCTTCAACATTCCTGTTTGGTCTCAGGATCTCAGCTTTGCTTCCACACCAGCAGGGTCTTGCCCAGTGATGGCCTATGGATGAGGACACATGTCTGGGAGGGGACATGTCACTTCATAGCCATCCTGTTCATGTCCTTGCCTCTCTGTGTGGCTGCACAAGGCTTCCCATGTGACCTTCACCCTTTGGAGCCTGGGGAATCCAGGCTTGAAATCTGGAGAGCTCTTTGCCTCAAGATTAGTTTCTGCATTATAGCAAGAGGGAAGAGCTGTCCTGTCCCCTGGCGACACCCAGGGACACAAATGAGTCCTTGATGAAGGACCTGTTTGTACCTTTTGGCACAGACATGGTTTCTGCCCAGCGTGTGCTGGGCAGCTGTGTCACATCCCAGCACTGTAGCCAAACCCTTCTTGCTTGCAGTGCCAGCAGGCTTGTGGTACCCATGTGGTCTGACGGCCCCGAGAGGGCTGAACTCTGCCTTTTCCCCCTGCCAGGAGGCCATGATGGACCACTCCCTCCAGACCATCTCCTACATTGCCGACATTGGCTCCCTCGTGGTGCTCATGGCGCGCCGGAAGCTGCCGCGGCGCTCGGAGGTGGCGGAGGAGAAGCGGCTCTACAAGATGATCTGCCACGTCTTCCACTCGCCTGATGTGAGGCAGCACACAGGTCCCTGGTGTGGGCGGGTGGCTCTGGGGACCCGAGTCCCATCCTGGTGTAATAACTGGGTGTTCTGGGCCTGGGCTGCAGCAGAGTCCCCTCCCTCCCCACTAGGGAGGGGCAGAAGCCCAGCCTGAGCATCTCTGTGCCACGCAGAGCCCCAGTGAGCAAAGTGGAGGGGGGGGTTGGCTGCACACGGGCCCCATTCTGGCAGGGAAGGAGCCAGGACACCCTGGAGCTCCGGAGGACGATTCCTGTGCTGGGCACTGCAGGGTGCTGGGAGCTGTTGGCTCCAGCCCTGAGCCACAGGCAGGAACAGCCCTTGTGGTTCTCCAGGCCCAGGTCATCGCCCAGGCCATCGGGCAGGCGTTCGGTGTGGCCTACCAGCGCTTTCTGGAGGCCAACAGCATCGACCCCAGCCAGCTGAGCCCGCGCCAGTACGGCCGTGCCCTGGAGGACCAGGAGCAGTACAACACAGAGCTGACCCACTTCTCCCGGCAGGAGAACTGCAAGGACGTAAGAGCTGCTCCGAGGGGTGGGGACAATGTGGGGAACCCACTGGCACCTGTCATGCACTCTGTGGCTCCCTGTGCAGCTGAGCTGTTCCCTCCAAGACCAGACCCCATCCCAGGCAGCTGTGAGTGCAGCTGTGGGCTGGGGCACGTGCTCTACGGCTCTGGTGGAAGTTGTGAGCATCACCCACCTGCTCTCCCCCCAGGTGTGCATCCGGAAGCAGAAGGGGGAGATCTTGGGCATCGCCATTGTGGAGTCGGGCTGGGGCTCCATCCTGCCCACCGTGGTCATCGCCAACCTGATGCACGGGGGCCCCGCGGAGCGGTCGGGCGAGCTGAGCATCGGGGACCGCCTCATGTCGGTCAACGGGACCAGCCTGGTGGGGCTGCCCCTGGGCACCTGCCAGAGCATCATCCGGGTGAGCCGGGGCAGGGTGACCTCCTGCCTCACCCCAAGGGAGAGATGGGACCTGGCCTGAGTGATCTGGGAGTGTCTGTGACACCAGGATTCCCTTGGGGCCCCCAGCTTTGGAGACAGGTGTGCAGAGGTCATACCTGTCCTGCAGGCTGTGGCAGTTCCTGCTCAGAGTGCTTGGAGGAAGGCAGGGACAAAGCTGGGTAGTGTATTTCCTGTGGCTCCGCCTGAAAGGGAGGGTGGAGGAGGAGGCTGGCACCTGTCCTGAAGAGAACCTGTTGCATCATCTACCTCTCAGTGTCATGGGAAGGAGCTGGAAGCAAGGACAGCATAGCCTCAGGGTCAGGGATGTCTTGGGCTGGGTTTGTAAGTTCTTGTCCCTGGATTTCTATTTGCAGTATCCCTTTGTGTGCCTCAGTTTCCCCATTGAAAACAAGGCTAATCCTCAGCCCTCACATGAGCAATGCAGGTGTTGGACGGTGGGGTGCTGCTGCCTATTACCTGTTCCCAACAAACCTCTCCTGTAGGAAAGTGGGTTGGGTTAACATTTAGGCAACACAGTCAAATCCACACACAACACTCACCACAGCTGGCTCAGCAAGGGAGGCTAGAAAGGCTCCTTTTTGCAAGGTTTTATTTCAGTGAAGTATATCACATGTGGCTGAAAGGAACCTGGCAAGAGAGAGAGCAACCACGTGGCGCAGGCAGCTTAAGAAGGGGAAGGGGTGGGGAGCAGAGCTAAGGGCAGGGCAAAGGGGATTGGTCTCCAGGAGAGGGGGGCAGCCACCAAGGTACCAAGCCAGTGAGGGGACAGGGAAAGGGGAAACCAGGGGAAGTTGCAAACCAGAAGTCCATGTGGGAGTTTGTCTTTTCGCCCAGGAGGACTGCATCGCCCCTCAACCAGTCTGAATAGCTCTCCAAAATCTGACCTTGCGCCATCCCACCTTCCAGGAGCTGAAACACCAGACCGAGGTGACACTGAACATTGTGCACTGTCCCCCTGTCACCACGGCTGTCATCCGACGCCCCGACTCCAAGTACCAGCTGGGCTTCTGTGTTGAGAATGGTGTGGTGAGTGCCCGTGGGATGGGAGCTGGGCCAGGGTCTGCTGAGGGACAGGCAGAGCCAGCTGTGTCCAGGGACCAGCACCCAGCTCCCACACTGCATGTGCCTGCCCAGCCGAGGGGTCACAGGGCTCTGCTGTGTGCAGCTAAAAAGCTCCTCACAGTCTTTCTGCAGCACTGGTGGTTGTATCCCTCTTCCTGGTGCTCTGTAGCTGTTTGCTTTCAGGGTGGTGGCTTCTTCCTGGCTTTTTGGGCATGACCTCAGTGACAGTTGTTCCTGTCCCCTGTGCCCGAGCTACTCCCTGCCCTGGGCTCACCTGTGGCTGTGTTGGGAAGGCAGAGAGGGGCATTCCTGGGCTCAGTGGGAGCTGGTGGGTGAGTGGCACGGCCACCTTGCACACCAACTGGTGCTTCCCCTAGGACTGGAGCTGTGGGTCTCTCCTGTTGCTCAATCTCTGCAGCCCCAGCCTGAGGAGAGCAGATGGGTTCAGTGAGTCAGCCAAGGGACAAAATCCTGGGGGCTGCCCTGGCCCCAGCTCAGCACATCACTCTGGTGGCAGCAATGCACAGGAACATCCCTGCCCTCACTGCCCAGGGGCTGGAGGAGTTGTGCCCCCCAGGCAGAGCTCTGGCCAAGAGCCTGCGGGGCTGTGAGGGTTTGGAGCAGTGGCGACAGGGCTGCGCTGTGGGCACAGCCCTGTTCTCACAGCACTTCCCCTCCCAGATCTGCAGCCTGATGCGCGGGGGCATCGCGGAGCGGGGTGGCATCCGCGTGGGGCACCGCATCATCGAGATCAACGGGCAGAGCGTGGTGGCCACGCCACACGAGAAGATCATCCAGATCCTCACCGAGGCGGTCAGCGAGGTGAGCTGAGCCCCCACGGAGCCGCTGGGCTCAGAGCTGTGCACAGCACCCTCCAGCCCGGGCTGGGCTCTCTAATCTGTGCCTCTCTGCCTAGGTGCACATCAAGACCATGCCAGCCTCCACGTACCGTCTGCTGACAGGGCAGGAGCAGCCCCTCTTCCTCTGAGTCACCGTGCCTGGGGCAGGCAGGAGCGAGCCCGGGGCTGCAGGGGCAGGACTGGCTCTGCCTTCGGCCCCAGCCCTGCAGCAGAGCCCTCAGCAGGGCCTAAGACTGCACCTCTTTTGTTTTACTCAGGACACAGTGGGGCACTGGGGGCTGATACCCAGTGCATGAGCAGCATCAAGGCCTGTGGTGCCACGCTTTGGGCACCTCTCCCACTCCAATTACCTCTCCTCACCTCACAGTGCCTGCACAGTGCCTGTCCTGCTGCTGCACAGGGTCCCTCACCTTGGCCTTGTGCTAGTGGGAGGAGAGAGGGCCCTATGTGAAAGTTCTCCCCATCTAGTCATTGACTATTGTACTTTTACACTCACCAACAGTGCCTTTCTCAAGGTGGGGATGGTGCTGGAAGCACAGCTCAACTCCAGAGCTCAGCTAGCACAGCCCCAGAGTAGCACTGACCCCACACAGCCATGTGTGGGTGCACACTGGCACCCCTGAGGGATACCCAGCAACTCCCAGACTTGGCCTTAAGGGCAGAAGCACTCTTGGCACCTCCTCTACTCCCATGGCTTGGCCAGAGGCCTGTTGGGATGCAAACTCTCCGTTAGACACATTGCACCAAGCTGGGAACCGGCCTCAGCTTTTCCCTGGTGCTGCCTTTTATTGCTCTGCATGAACAGCCCAGCCCAGTGCCACAGCCCTTGGAGCAGCAGAAGGGAACATGGCATTGCCCAGCCCCACAGCCCAGGAGTTTGGGGCTGTGAGCCTTTTTGTGAACAGCTCTAGGCTCCCAGGGCCGCAGCAGTGCTGACCTGGCTGTTCCTGTGTGCTTGGTTGCTCTAAAAATAAAAATTTTGGGAAATATGGGAGGCTGCATTTGAGGAGCTGTAGGGGGACTGCAGCAGAGGAGGCTCAGCTCTGGGCAGCACATCCCAGGCCTGCAGTGGTGCCAGGCCCCAAGTCCCCCTGCGATGCCTCATTGTACACAGGGCCACTGGCCAGGGAGGTGCCTGGGTCCCAGCAGGGACCACCTTGCTGCACAGTGTCCCCTGTATGCTGCCACCCAGCACCCCCAGAAACAGCCCATCCTGATCCAAACATCCCTTTTATTCCAATAGCAGTGGCTGTGGCCAAAAGTGAAGGAGGCACGTGGTAGTGCAGGCACTTGGTGATGCAGGGTATAGCAGGATTGGGACCAGCCCAGCCTGGCCACAGGGGCACCACCTGAGCTGTCAGCTGCATCCAGTTGTGCAGGGCTGTGGGAGAGCTGGCCTGGAGGGACAGGCCCAGCTGTGCCACTACACATCTGTGGCTGGGCCCCACTCGTAGCCTTCATCCTGGTCCGAGTCATCCCTGGCCCGTGTGAACCTCCTCCTCACCGCCTCGTGCTCGTATTCCCTGGGAGACAGAAGGGTGGTGATGGTTCCGTGTGACAGGACTGTCCCCAGCCCTAGGCAGCTGCCATCCCCACCCTGGGGCACAGGGTACCTGATGCTGTCATAGCGCCTGCCCTGTGGTGGCCGTTCAGACACCTGGGGAAGAAGAGGTGGGAGGGGTCAGGGGCAGGGCAGGGGCTGTGCCCCAGCCTGGGGCGTTTGCCCCTGAAGACCCAGAGCTGGGCATAGACACACAGCTGGACCCTGCAGCAGCCAGAGGTGACAACCTGCCTGTGCCATGAGAATGGGAGTTACGCTCCAGAGCTAGGCACTGTGCCACCCTCTTCTGCCCCAGCAGGCTCTTGTACCAGTCTGGGACAACGCACCTGTTCACTGGGGGCCAGCTGTGTTGGCTCTGAGGAGTCCAGGCCCTGGCTCGGGGCCAGCTGTGCTGGCTCAGAGGAACGGGCCAGCCCAGGCTGGTCATAGTCATCCTCTGCCTCGCCGTCAGTGTAGGCGCCCACCTCCCCATCTGTGTCGTCGTAGTCGCTGTTGGCGCGGCTGTCACATGTCAGGTAGCCTGAGGCCACTGTGCTCGGTGGGTTCAGCAGGTCCAGACTGTCCTCGGCGGCTACATCTGCCTGAGGAGTGGGGATGACGGAGACCTCAGCCATGGGGGACCATGTGAAGCCCCATCACCTGCCTGGCTGCAGCTCCAGGAGGCCAAGCCTCGCCACAGAGAGCCTATGCCCTGTACCTGCTCTGCTGTTGTCCACACTGGCTGGTTTTGCTGTGTCCTTACGATGTCCTGGATCTGCTCGTACCATGCATTGCCACTGCCACTGAGGCTGATGGTGGCTGTGAAGAGGTGGCTGCAATACTTCTTCATCTTGTTGGCCTGGGCATAGAGGCGCCGGGAGCTCTTCCTGGAGTCGGGCGCCAGCCACTGCCGCATGGCCTTGATGCCCTGGCGGCTCTCGGGCTCGCAGAACACCACCACGGGGTAGTACTGCACGTAGTTGAGGCGCTCTACAGCTGAGGGCGTGATGTCCAGCAAAGCGTGCTTGTTCTGGGGCAGGGCACAGCCATCAGCCCTGCTGGGAGCAGGGATGAGGGCCATGGGCTTTCCACAGGGCCCAGATGGCTCCAAGGACATGGGAAAGATCTCACCTTTTCTGCAATCTGCCGCACCGAGTCCAGCTTGATGACCTTGGATGATGCCCCATCTCGGGGCACACTTGCTGCAGGATACAGAGATGGGGCGTGAGAGGGGCTGCACCTCTGACAGCCCCAGGCTGGGCATGGCCATGCCCAGCCCCAGGGCTGTGTCCCTCAGGGAGAGGAGGGGAAAGGGTGAATTAGCTGAGGAAGGTGTTGGGGTGTCATAGGGAGGGAGCCAAGGTAAAGAACTCTCACAGGGTCTGGCTGCTGGATATAATTTTCTCCCCAGTGTGGGGGCACTTACGGGCAATTTCAAACAGCTCGGGCAGCTCCCTGCTCAGCTTCTGCACAGCGATGTCTGCGATGGGGCCCAGGATCACCACTGGCCGCTTGAAGCTGGCTGTGGGAGGACAGAGGTGCTCAGGGTGGCTGGGGGCAAGGGCAGAGCTCCCAGTACCCAAGCACCCAGCCCCACTCCTCATGGTGCCCACAGGCCCTCAAGTTGCCCTGCTCCTCACAGGAGAGGAGGGCCCATCAGCATCCATAGCAGGGCAGCCCCGGGAGCAATGTCCCCAAGGCAGGTCAGGCTGTCCTGGTGCCCACCTTCCTTGAGAACCACCCTTTCATAGGGTGGGTAGCGCCCCTGTTTTGTGAGGGCAGACAGGTCCTCCCGGCTCTTCCGCAGCATCTTCTTGGCTCCCCGCAAGCCCCGCAGCTTCCAAAATTCAGCCCTTGCCCCGGAGGGGTTGGCACCAGATGTGGCTTTCAGCACCGACTCCAGGCTGGCAATCTGCTCGGCCCTGGAAGAGGAGAGGGCTCAGGACCTGCAGCCTCTGGGTTTGAGAAGCAGGTCAGAAGGAGCTGGTATCCCTGCTCAGTGGCACAGGCAGGTGAGGCTGTGGGACTTGGGACAACTTGACTGTCAGCTGCCTCACCATGCTGAGAAGGGATTTCACCAGCTTCCGATTCCCACCACTGTCCCACCAGCCCTTGCCCTGCCTCTCACTGAGCCCACCATCCACATCCCCGGCTCTCTTGGGAGCCTTCTCTGGCTCTGCTTGTCTAGGGGCTGTTCCTGGCTCCATCCTTACCTGCTCTGGTTGGGGATGATGCCCTTTTCCTGCTCCTGCAGGTCCCTGCCCATGCGCACAGCCAGCCAGCTCCCCAGCCTGCCCCGGTACATGGTGTCCAGCACGTGGAACACATCCCCACGGGCAAAGCTGAGCCCTGACGGCGTATCCTTCTCAAAGTCAAAGTGTGTCCGGATGTAGAACGAGTCACCCACATTGGACGAGACCATCTTCCTGTAAACTGAAGCCCAGGGCAAGAGAGACCATCAGGGGAGGAGATGGCTGAGGAAGAAGATGCTGGAGAGATTTGGGAAGGCACTAGGCTGGCTGGGAGGCTCCACAGTAGCCCTTGCTGCTAAAGAGGGTATGAGGGACACCTTTTCCTCCCATGGCACTCTCAGGCATGCTGGGGACAGTAGGATCTGACTCGCCAGTACATACTGGCCTCTCCAGGCTGAGCCATAGTCCCAGAAAGCCCCTGTGCTCCAGGAACATGAGGCACAAACAGGGCTGGGATGGTCTGGTTCCCTCCTATCAGCACTCAGGAGGAGGAGGAAGAGGGGAAGAAGGACCACCATGCAGGGACAGGAAGAACCATGGCAAGTCCAGCAGGTCTGATGCTTGCCCAGAAGAGACAGAAGATGGAGAGGAATGAGCCCAGGATGAGCCTGGTCACCACTCACTGTCCTGCTTGCTCTGGATCCACAGCGTGACCTCCTCGCCCGGGGGCAGGGCCATGAGATATTCCACAGCCTCCTCACGGGTCACATTCTGGAAACTGGTGTCATTCACCTGCCACAGAAAAGCACTTGGACATGGTCCTGCCAGCAGGACAGAGGGCATGAGCACCAGCAGGGGACTGAGGGACAGCAGTGCCCAGGGCAGAGTGGGAGAGGGAAGTGGTCCCTGTCACCCTGGAGGTGATACCCTGGGGGATATTGGACCTAAAAGAGCTGGGGCCAGTCCAGGTGCAGCAGCATATGGAGCATTTTCAGCCTTGGGTACCTGCAGGATCTGGTCTCCTTCCCGAACACCCTGGCTGTCAGCTAGGCTCCCCTCCTGCACACTCGACACAAAGATGCCCACATCGTTCCCACCTGTCAGCCGCAGCCCCACACTCTTGGCCTTCACAAACTGCACGACCCTGGAGTTGGTGCTGTACCTGCCACAGGGAAGTACAGTCAGACCAGTGGTGACATGCAAGAACAGGACAGGGAGGTGCTGACTTTGTCACCCCAACCCTGTGACACAGCAGCTCCTCATGTCCCCCAGCCGTTCTCCCCTGCCTCTTGCAGACATACCCATCCTTGTGGGCAGCTCGGGCAGTGAGGCTGGTATGGGAGCTGGGCCCATCCTGCTCCATGGCTTCCAGAAGGTCTGCAGGAAGGAGAGCTGGTCTAGGAGCAGCAGTGGCTGTGCCGAGGCACAGAGAGCCCTGGCATGGCTCTGCCAGGGCTTTGGGCAGTGGAGATGCACAGGAGCCTGAAGCCCCCCCAGTGCCCGCTCACCTGGGCCCTGAGCATCAGCTACAGTCACCTTGGTCACAGGCTCCCTGTCTGATCGTCTCCTCTCCCTGGAACAAGGTCAAGCAGGATTTAGGCAGGGCATGTGGGCAGTGGAGACAGCAGAGCAAGCTAGGCATGGCAGTACCACCTCCAGGGATATTGGCTTAGGAATGGAGAACCAGAATCCCCGGACAGGTGGAGAACACAGAAGAATCTGCAAGGGGACAGAGGGGCTCATAGGGACAGTGTGGGTCTTACGGTGATTTTGTCCTGGCAGCAGCTGGAGATCGTGGGGAAGCCTCTGGAGATGGCGGACGGGACAGCTCAGAGTCGATGTCTGAGATATCTGCAGCCACAGGAAGGGAGATGCAGCAGTGGCCATGCAGCCCCTGTGCTGTGTAACTGACCCTGGCCCCGCCAGCGTGTCCCCTCACCATCCATCCGGGAGCTGTCGCTCTGGCTGTCAACGTCAGGGATGTTGACCAGGAACTGCCGGTGGTCACGGAGGATGAGCAGGGTCAGGATCCCCTCTGTCTGCTCAATGAGCTGCTGGGTTTCAGCCAAGGACATGTCCTGGCTGGCTACCCCATTGATCTGGAGGAGCATCGTGGGAGGCCTTAGGGCACCTGCTCCTGGGAAAGTCACCCCCACTCCCACAGGGATAGGATACTCTGACTGCCATCTTCCTGGTCCCTTCCCAGCTCCTCCAGGCCAGCCCCAGCTTCTGCAGCTTCACCTATTCTGTGTCTC